GCCAGCAGCCCCGAGGGGCCCCCCCCCGCACCCCCTTACCTGGGAGGGCCCCCCCGCGCGCCCCCCCCAAACCGCCGGCACAGCCCCGAGACCTTCGGGGGGCCCGAGGGGGGCGCGGGGGGGGCCGAGCCCGACGGGCAGATGCAGCTGGTGACCAGCCTGTGAGACCCCCGGGCGGGGGGCACACGGGACCCCCCCCATCCCCTGGCGAGGGGCCGTGGCCGGGGGGGCCGGGGGGACAGCGCGGGCCCGGGGCTGCCGGTTCTGCACGAGGAGGGACCGGGCCGGGCCGCGCCCCCCCGCACCGGGACCTTGCACCAGGACTTTGCACCGGGACCTTGCACGGGGACCCCTCCTCGTGCCCCCGCCCCGGCACGGGGGGCTTTGGGGGGGGAGCCGCAGCCTCGTTCCGGGGGTTCCCCCCCAAAGCCATCCCGGGGGGGCCCCACGGCCTCGGCAGCAACGAGCCGAGGGGGGGGGCGGGGGGGCACTGACAGCCCCCCAAAATGAGGGGTCCCCCCACAGCGGGGACCTCCCCAAAACGGGGACCCCCCCCAAAAAGAGACACATTTTCCTTGTAATATAGATGTAAATGGACCAGCCCCCCCCCCCAGGAAACTGAGGCACGGGGGGCCCCCAAACCCCCCCCCCCCCCATCCGGGGGTCTCCTCAACCCCAGCGGAGCCCCCCTGGAAGCACAACCCTCCCCAGCCAGGGGGGGCCTCGCCACGCTGTACATAGGGATGGGGGGGCCCCCAAAATCGGGGGAGGGCAAAGGGGACCCTTAAGAGTTTTGGGGACTCCCCCAAGTTCTGGGAACCCCCTTGAATTTGGGAACCCCCCAAAACTGACGGGACCCCACAATCTGGGGATGCCCCCCAGGGCTTGGGGATCCTCCCTGGGATGTTCAGACCCCACACACGTTTTCGGGAGCCCCCCCAGGTACCAGGGAGAGCCCCCAGGTTCTGGGGACCCCCAGTGAACATGAGGACCCCCCAGGACTGAGGGTCCCTCATACTTTGGAGAGCCCCCAGAGCTCAGGCTCCCCCTCCTGGGATCCGGGGCCCCCCCAGTATTTGGAGTCCCCTTACATTGGGAGCCCCCTGTGTTTTGGGGACCCCCAAGGTATGAGGGACCCCCCCAGCCCACCTCAGGGGTTTTGGGGACACACGGGGGGGCCATCCCCTCCCTAGGTTTTGGGGTGCCCCTCCCCCTTCCCTTAGCATGGGGGAATCCCAAAACTTTCTTGGGGACCCCAAACTTGGGGGTGTGGAAGGGAAAACCCCCTCCCCTCCCCCCCACCCCCACATCTTGGGG